CACAGACAGAGGTTTGTGGACTTGAACAAACTCTGAGGGGATACGATTTTACGCACAAGCAGCTCATCATCCCATCACAACACCACAATGACTTCCTTTTGCCTCAATCCATCCCACCTTCCTCCTTGTAAACAACAATGAATATAATTTACCAGCTTCATCTCACCTGGAGCACCATTTCTGTTACATGAGGAACAGTGGGCAGGCCTGGCCAACCTCCCAGGTGAACTGAAGGTGCACCTTGAAATTTAATCCCAGAATTCTACGCAGTTGGCACATCTTAAGGAACATGCAGGGTAGACAAGTAAATGCAGAAAGAATTCCTGAAGGTAGAAAGTTTGAAAACTAATGACTTCATGTCTTAAACATTTTGAAGTAGCAAAAGTCAACACAGAAACATGAAATGTTAATAAATGTGCAGAACAAGACAGACCTCTAATACATTTATTTAAGCAATGGAGGTTGGACATTAGCAGTCATTTTCTATAATTTATTCAAGGGCATTCCTGCTGCGGCTAATTTTTTGCCAAATCCATTTCCCCCCCTGAATAAAGTACACTTTCAAAAAATACTTTCCATCTCCTACGTTTTTTCCTCACTTGATTACTGTCATTTTGAAAATTTTACAGCGTACAAGCTAATCAAAATTCACAGAACAGATGTCCTTTCTTTCAGCATTTGGAAACTGATGATGCCGCAGAAGAAAACATTTTGATGCACTGAAAATGTTTTAAGTGGACTTGAAGGCGAAAGAAACTTAAAACTTCAACTCTGAAATCCGCAACCAGCTAATATTAAGTACTTGAGCTCTTAAAGCAGGGGAACCTCAGGTTCAAGGGCTGAACATAGTCATCTATGCATCGCTATCCCTTGGGATTCTCCTTGCCATTCCCTTTCCACAGAGCACCCATTCACCAGCCCTGCTCCACACCCTTCTTGAGTAATTTTGCCTGACTGAAATGTGCCCTTGAACTGTGATGATGCCTTTTCTAGGTGGAAAATAAAGAAAGAGAATTGTGTGGGTCTCTATAGAAATCTCTGCCTTGTGTGTCCTGAATGTAGTCTTCTGAACGAATGTAATACTATTGCTACGCCCACTTTTCCTCTGGCCCAACACAGAATGTTGGCTCTGAGGAAAAGCTGGAAAATGGCTGGAAAATGGTTCCCTGTGCCTGATGTAAAATAAACATTATGTATTGTGTGTTTTTAATATATGTATTCTTTGTTGGTGTAATTTGGGAATATGTGCAAAATTGCACTAACTGCTTGGTTTGTCTCCAGTTGCCCTTCTCCTGTGTGTGATTTCTGTTCAGGGCTAGGGCGACAGCTGTGGTAGGCCTTTGGAAGCAGCTAAAGGCTAAAGGCCTCTAGCATGACTCGCCCATCCTCCTTTTCTCCAAAGAATGTATGTACATGTTTGGGTGGGTATAAAGCCAAGGCTGCACTCAGCAGCAAAGAGGCAGCGAACAATGTGAGTAGTAGCGAATTGTGGTGGTGCCAACACCCGTGCCATATTTGTTTTCCTGCCCAAGAATGTGCAAAACTATACCTACAGCAGATGCAAGCTGATTGCCTTGCTGGAAGAGAAGGCTAAGCAACTTGAGACCTGCTTATCCAACTTTGAGCTGTCAGAAAAGATGAGGAATTTCTCAGCAGAGCAGAGTGGACTGTCTTGGAGCAGCGACACAACTGGGGTCCACCTAGGGAGGAGGAAGATCACTCATTCAGGGAAGCTTTTAATCTGTGATATTTTACTGTATTTTTTGTTTCTATGGAAGCCGCCCAGAGTGGCTGGGGAAACCCAGCCAGATGGGCGGGGTACAAATAATAAATTATTATTATTATTATTATTATTATTATTATTATTATTACAGTGGTGCCTCGCAAGACGAAATTAATTCGTTCCGCAAGTTTTTTCTTCTTGCGAGTTTTTCGTCTTGCGATGCACGGTTTCCCATAGGAATGCATTGAAAATCAATTACTGCGTTCCTAGGGAACCCGCCTTCCGCCCAGGTCCGGGGACATGCGGTCCCCGCACCTCTTCTGAAGGCTGGGGGGGGGGGGCAAGGGCTTTTCTTCCCACCCACCCCAGCATTTTAAAAACCCGGGACAGCGGAGGGCTTCTCCGCTGTCCGGGGCGATCTTAAAATGCTGGCGGGCGGCATTTAAAATTGCCCCGGGACAGCGGAGGACTTCTCCGCTGTCCGGGGCAATTAAAGCCCCTGGGAAGGCAGGCAGGGGGACAAAGACTTTGCCCCCCGCCAGCCTTCAGAAGAGGTCCTGGACCTCTTCTGAAGGTTGGCGAGGCGAAAGTCTTGTCCCCCACCTGCCTTCAAAAGCTGTCCAGCCAAGGCTTCGCGGACCTCTCCGCAAGCAGCGGCAGCACTGCCGCTGCTTGCGGAGAGTTGCCGGCATGCCGAAGCCTGCGCGCGCTGAGATCAGCGCGCCCAGGCTTCGCGGACCTCTCCGCGAGCAGCGGCAGCGCTGCCGCTGCTTGCGGAGAGGTGCCGGCATGCCGAAGCCTGCGCGCGCTGAGATCAGCGCGCCCAGGCTTCGCGGACCTCTCCGCGAGCAGCGGCAGCGCTGCCGCTGCTTGCGGAGAGTTGCCGGCATGCCGAAGCCTGCGCGCGCTGAGATCAGCGCGCCCAGGCTCGCGGACCTCTCCGCGAGCAGCGGCAGCGCTGCCGCTGCTTGCGGAGAGTTGCCGGCATGCCGAAGCCTGCGCGCGCTGAGATCAGCGCGCCCAGGCTCCGCGGACCTCTCCGCGAGCAGCGGCAGCGCTGCCGCTGCTTGCGGAGAGTTGCCGGCATGCCGAAGCCTGCGCGCGCTGAGATCAGCGCGCCCAGGCTTCGCGGACCTCTCCGCGAGCAGCGGCAGCGCTGCCGCTGCTTGCGGAGAGTTGCCGGCATGCCGAGGCCTGCGCGCGCTGAGATCAGCGCGCCCAGGCTTCGCGGACCTCTCCGCGAGCAGCGGCAGCGCTGCCGCTGCTTGCGGAGAGTTGCCGGCATGCCGAAGCCTGCGCGCGCTGAGATCAGCGCGCCCAGGCTCCGCGGACCTCTCCGCGAGCAGCGGCAGCGCTGCCGCTGCTTGCGGAGAGTTGCCGGCATGCCGAAGCCTGCGCGCGCTGAGATCAGCGCGCCCAGGCTTCGCGGACCTCTCCGCGAGCAGCGGCAGCGCTGCCGCTGCTTGCGGAGAGTTGCCGGCATGCCGAAGCCTGCGCGCGCTGAGATCAGCGCGCCCAGGCTTCGCGGACCTCTCCTGCCTTCAAAAGCCGTCCGGGATAGCGGGAAGCGCTTCCCTGCTATCCCGGACTGCTTTTAAAATGCTGGCGGTGGGGAGCAAAGCCTTTCGGCCCCCGCCAGCCTTCCTGGACCTCTTCTGAAGGCCGGAGGGGGAAGGCTTTGCTCCCCACCGCTAGCATTTAAAAGAGGTCCCCGGAGATTTCCCTATGGGCTTTCGTCTTGCGAAGCAAGCCCATAGGGAAATTCGTTTTGCGAAGCGCCTCCAAAACGGAAAACCCTTTCGTCTAGCGGGTTTTCCGTCTTGCGAGGCGTTCGTCTTGCGGGGCACCACTGTATTATCA